AAGTACGGCCTATATACAAGTGGATTTACACATTTCGTTGTCTACGATTACAGTTCGTTTGTATTGTTCTATAAATGTTATATTTAGATAAGTACTGTTACGATAAAGATACTAATTTGGCCGGAAATGTTTGGCGGGTCTCTGCTAGTCTGTACTAAAGTTAATATGCTATGTATGAATTTAGTGACAACAACTCTATTCCAAAAGTGTAAAGACAGAACATTTTGGGGACGTTCAAAAATCAATAATACAGCATCAAATGCAACTGAAATCATAAAGAAATTCTTACAGAAAGTACGACATTACAGTTTCATAAGGTTTTTAGACAATTCTAATGAGTAATAGTAAGATGTTTTGTGTTCTTTGATCCTTACGAGATCACAGATATATTGAGGTACTACTTAAATAGAATACCACTTACCGATCAACAGCACACATCCTTCAAACAGCGAATTCTGTATGTTCCTTTTTAGGATATTTGCACTGTGTTTGATGGCCTAATAGAGATAAGTAGCTCTGAAGTCCATCTCAGTTAAAGGTCGACACGCTTAAGATTCGAATTTTTCCCAGTTAGTCATCGCTGACCGAAACTCGGCGTGTGCGCAAGCGCGGAATTACTCGGAACATTGTTATAATAGCGGTGAGCCGTTCGTTCAAAGTTGTTACCAAACTATTGCGCACGCGATATTTGATCGTTAATACTGGTTGTATACAGTAAAGTGTGAGACAGTCTACCTTTAATTAGTCGATAATCAAGAAGCACTTCATCAGAAAGACCAGTCTTCTTTTGAACTTTCACAGTTCGGAGAGAAAATGTTGACCCCAATAAGACTACTACTATCAACTATGCTGACCCTTGTACAGCGGACGACTTCTGTTAGTAAGTTGATATATACATATATATTTAAAATTAAATGATGGTTAAAATTGAAACTTACGTAGTGTAGCAGTTTTGAATTTCATTTTTGGGTTTCTTATACATTATAAACTCAATCATCATTTTTACAGTTCAAATTTTTACCTATTAAAGAAGTTGTATTTTGTTAACTCACGATCTCAGATTTTTACTGTGTATTAGCTTAAAACATTTCAAACAATGTCTTTTAATGAATTCATCTTAAGTTGTCATGTAAGACCGCCTGCTGTATTGTAGGTGAAGATTTCTAATTGAACGATTTCTTGTTTCTGTTAAACTGTGTTATTGGCTTACTTCCGCTTTATGAATCCGTTGTTTTGTGAACCAAAACTATAAAACCAATATTTTTCCACTAAGTAATCTTGAAGCTAAAACTATCCTTGTAGAAATACTAGCATTTTAGCCCTAGGTAATATACTAGTGATTCTCAAACTGAATTTCATGAGACGGTCTAGGGGGGGACTCTAGCACATGCATAAATATCTCCCTTTTCAGCGGGAATTTTA